TTGATGTTCCTATTTCACACATCATAGATTTCCCTGCACATTTGCCCTTAAAAAGGTATCGACGTTGCCAGATAGACTTCAGGTAGGGCAGGGACCGAATGTCTATGGACTAAGTACCTACACGGATCTCGTTGGCTGTTTTTTTTCTCTAGCTTATGATGATCATAATCCTTCATGAAACGATGACGGCGTTGCGTGAGAAATGCAGAGTCGACCTACTTGATGCCATTTTTAATCGTGTGAAAGTATCCACTGCCAATACTATTTCAATATGGTGCATTATAATATACCTTGATTCTATTCGTCTCATCTGACAACCCTGTACGGCACCTGTCACCGCCACCTCGAAGTATAATTGACGCCCAAGAATGGATCTAATCCGGCCCTAATGAATATAGACTAACAATAAGAGGGGTGCTTTTAAGAATGTATACCAAATTTGACCGCAATATAGTTTTTTTTACCCCTTTTCATGTGTAGGTACATCATAAATATCAGAATGTGCCGAACCCCACTTGGCCCCTTCGGTAGCCTCGATCAAATAATTTTTCCACGTCCAAGGATATACAGCAGTTTTCCTTGATTTTGATTCCATCATAATTGTTGTTGGCATGAATAACATTCAAGGTTTCCAGCTAAAGTATTGACTTGGCAACTGATAGTGGTACTGACGTTTTAAGCCCCATGTAGAACTATGTAAAGTATGTACACAACAGATTACATCAAGTAAGCACTTTTAATGATATCGAAATATTTATCAACAAATCATGCACCTGCATGGCAATAATATCAAATGACCATGGAATGAATATATATACACAGATATGTTATCGATGTGTGTTCTCTTCGATTCTGCTCACAGGAAAGAGGAAGGTAAATAAGATACTCCGTATACACGGTAAACTAAACGTTATGTGCCTACATATACATGAAATATACTGCTATCATAAGTGAACATGACACTTTCTACAGCTGAAATGTTTCTTTGAACTCCTGATTATAGACAATTTTACACTCCTTGATAATTACTATTAGTGTATTTTTGTTTTGTTCTCTCATAGTTTATAATTACTGATTGTACTGTTTGATCCCATAAATTCTATAATCGCATATACCTAATAATGCTGCAATACTGCAAAAACTGAGAGGTGTGGATGTTTTTCATGAACTTTAGTTGTGACATTCATTTATGACCTATTGTTCTATCTTATATGTTTATATATTTGAAGTTGGACAGAAAAGTTCCTCCAACAACGAAAATGCTTTTTTTCAACGTAAAGAATGACAAATGCAGGTTTATGAAA